CGAACTTGGCTAACCGATTCTCCTTTCCGAACCGCCTATCGTTACACTACAGACGCATTCACTAACCCAGTAGTAAGACAATAATTCCAAAATTATCTTAATTATCTTCCATATTTGGAAAATTATTTTGCAGAAACAAGATTTTAAAAAGGTACAAAGTCCGCATTGTGTGTGGTTTTGTTCCATATCTATATTGTTTGTTTTTTGTTGTTTTTTTTTTTTGGTGGGGGTTGTTTTTTGTTTTGTTTTTTCTTTCATGACGTTTCAGTCGTGTACTACTCACCTGCCTTTATCGGGTGTTGTGTTTCGAGAAATAATACAATGAAATAATTTTATTAATTTTTTTTTAATATAAAGGCAAGGCAATTAGTTTTGTGGGGAATAAGTTTTGTGATTAAAGAGAATCAATCAGATAATTACGGTGTCGTCTTCGATAAGGAAAAGAAAAGCATGAAAAGCGTGCAACCTGTCGTTGAGGTATGCCGTGTTTGAATAAATTTTAAGTGGAATAGTTGGTGACAGGACCAAAATCTAACTGCGTGCTTTGTGTTCATGAAAGTTTGTGTCGCGAGCAAATGTTTGTCTCTGGTAACTTTACCTTTTGCTGTAAAGGGGAATGGTAGCAGAAAGTAGGAGGAAGCAACAATAAAACAAACACAAACAGGCAGGAATTTGCCTCGTAGGAAAAGCGAATCTCAACTTGAGAAATTTATGTGTTCTACATATGTACAAAGAATGGACGTAGGTGGTGGAGGGACATCCACAAACATCACAGTACTAAGTCAATAAAAAATTTCTATCAACAGATTCTTTTCGCCATGTTTATTTTTTTTACTGTATTTGAAACGGGTTTCTTCAGAGAGAAAGATAGAAAGAGCAGAATTTATGGAATACAATAATTATTCGTGTTTACTACGCATTTTTTTTCAGATTTTTAAACTTAAAATTTAGATTTGGGTATTATCACACTCTCTCCCTCTCTCTCGCTCTTTATCACTCCCTCTTTCTCTATATCTCTCTTTCTCTCTCTCTCTCTGGATGGATGAATAAATTGTCGTCTAAATTACGTAAAAAGGAAAATAACACTGACAACTCATTTTAACAGACATATTTACCAAAATTACATAAAAATATCTTGAAATACTAAAGAGTAAATTTATTCAATAAAATCGCCATTGGCTACAACCACGACCTGGAGACGACTTCGGAATCTCCTGCAACTCTTCTTGTCGGTTTCCTTGTTTAAGTTAATGAATGCTGTCATAAGCCTTGCCTTCAGATCATCTTTGATGTTACAAGGAGTTTTGTTGATCTCTCTTAACTGCGCCCCCTCCACACACACCCCCACACGCAATAACCAAGGTGGCTTCAATCTGGGGAGTTAGGTGGCCAGATGTAAGGGATTATGTGGTCGCAGAAATTGTCTGACAGCTATGACTGGGTTCTCTTGCTTGTATGGCATAGTGCAGAGTGCTGTTTCCAGACATAGTGTCTTCCAGCAGCCACCCTCTTGACTCAGGACAGCACTACCTCCTCAAGGTACTTTATGTTGGCCTCCGTGTTGAATCTGAGGCCCGGTGGGAAGATGAATGAAAGCATAACATCGCCATCAATAGTGATCACTCCAAACACCTTCGTAATCACCATTTTCGAATCCTCTGCACTCTCCTCAGACTGACACCCCAAAACACTGAAATGTTCGTATTGGAGCTGCCGGTGCGAATGCCAAGCAGTACTGCATATTGTTTCCAAATTTCTGTTGGTGTGAATTGCATTATGGTGCTCTTTTTCTTACAGATGGTGCCCAACTGACCCTACTATACTGTGCAGTCGACAAAATCAAAAACAAACATGTGTGAAATTAAAAAAATAAAATGGCGACAATTTAAACATCGCACCATGTATATGCTGTGTTCCTTTAGAGTGTGGCCGATCATAGCTCTCCACAATATCCCTGTAGCTCTTAATAAATTTTGTTTTTTTGTTATTTCTTCTAAACGCTGTTCCGCCATCTAGTTACTCAAGCTTATTATGTTAAGCCTTGTATTCCTCTGTCCCTCTTGCCTTCAATCTGGCCTGTGTGTACCAGATTTTCCAAGCCTGCTTTCCTCATTATGTGCTCTAGAGGTTTCAGCTGTCTCTAAGTTTCCTTTTTGTTTCCATTTTTTCTAAAATTTCGTCGTTGCTTACATGTTCGAGAGTATGTGAGGATCGAACTCTATTCATTCGTAATTGATCTAGCGAGACAAAGCTTAATAACCAATACACCACGTCGAAGTAAAATTATGTACAGCAAATAATCCATAGTATTCCGACGAGTATTTCCTATTCCTTGGGAAACTTGTATTTCTTGGGAAACGCGTATTTCCTATTCCTTGGGAAACTGTCAGACCAATAGTTACCAGATGTGGACATAAGTAACTACATCTGAAACTTTAACGATACTAAATTTTGAATTGATTTTTATTCGTTAATGATGTAAGTTAGCGTTATGCTTAGCAGAACAAATAAAAGTAACCCAAAGTGTCAATTGTAATCTTACTAAGACGGCGCTTTACTTATTAGGCTAAGAAAGTTAACCAGTTATTACTGTACCTATTTACACATATAATTATATTCTTCGTTGCAATAAAAAAAAAATCAGAATTGTTTTCCTTTTCTTCCAACAATTTTCCTCATTTATTTTTTATTTACAATTTTCGAACTTTTTTTCTCTCTCTCAGTCAGTCAGTTATGTGCCATGCGTGATACACGCTTAGGCGATCATGTATCTTTCAATACATGACTGACGAGGCAAATTTTTTCCTGTGGTAGGTTGGCATTTCTTTCTGCGGTAGACCAGTTGCACTCCAAGGCTATAGAACCCGGTCTGTCCTGCTATTTACCCATAGCTCGGCGGAATAGAACGGGATTCATACATTTCCAAGGGGTATTAGCACGTAAATGAATGTAATGGATTCGACTGGAATTCGAAGTCCCAAATTGCGGATCAAATTGGTTATCATGATTTCACAAAATAAAAATTATAAATGAAATGGACAATTAAAGTGTCCGTCTTCTTATTATCACTATATATATATATATATATATATATATATATATATATATATATACATAAATTATGTGCCATGCGTGATACACGCTTAGGCGATCATGTATCTTTCGATACATGACTGACGAGGCAGATATTTTTTCCCGCAGTAGGTTGGCATTTCTTTCTGCGGTAGAAAAAGAAGATTCATACCATTCCCAAGGGTATTAGCACATAAGTGAATATAATGGATTCGACTGGAATTCGAACTCTCACCATTTCTGTCTAAACTTATTTCCGTTTTATATGTGTTTCTGTTTGCATGGAGATGTTTCTAATTTTCCATTTTTCCACATTATTAATATTCATTTCCTCTTTTCTTCTTCCACTTTGTTTCATTTCCCCAGTCTCTATTTTTTTCTGTCATAAAAGCTAAATACTTATTCTACTGTTCATATTCCAGCTCTAACACTTTTTCTTGCCTTCCTTCCTCTTCCCTTATAATCTTTCTCCTTTTTTTTTTTTTATTTCATCTCGACTTTCGGACTAAATTGCTATCCTGTCCCGCAAACCAAAGTCTTCATTACTATAGATCAACACCGGGTCATACAAGACCCTCAACAACTTATCACTTGGCAAAAGTGAATTCCATATTTGCATTTATATATTTCACACGCACATTTGTTAAGCGATATCCCCAGTAGGGAATCCCATGGGCTTCTCTGCTCATGGGTGGGGGTCTGCCAGCCTGAGGTGATAACATTTCGGGGATATGTGATTTACGACCCCACAACGAGCCACCCAAGGTAAAACCCGCTGCTTGTCTTCCGACTGTAAAAGACGAGAACAGAAAAAGTAAACAGTAAGAAAACAAGAAACGTTTGACATTGTACAAAGTTTATGCCTGAATATATAAAAGGTGGTTATGGTTGCTCATCGGATAAAGACGTTAGTTGCTTGCTTGCTTTACATGTCTAGCTGGGGTGGGGAGGTATAAACTAGAACCCAGGCACTACGAGTATTTTGCTATAAATATTTATAATTGTTCCATTAATGGAAGTGTAGAGATATCATGTCTCTGTCTGTGTAAGTGTTTGTTTAAATTATACTTACTAAACTTTGTTTAATACGGCAGTGAAACAGATGACAGTAGGAAGATCATATAGTAACAATTCTCTAGGTAAGGGAGTGCCTACCTGTATTAAAAATTAGCATTCAATTTTTTAATTATTTAACTGGAGTCTGACGCTGACCACTTAGAAATACGGGCATTTTTCAGTTAATTCCCGCCACTAAGAATATTTCATTTTCTCATCCAGTCATTTTTGAATTTTTGAATGATGAATACTTGGCTCCGTTATCATTTCTGGGTACCTCAGGTCAACCATTCTGCTAATTTCAGGAACCCCAAAGTCGCCCACACACAGAGAATGGAGAAAGGGTCTTAGAAATCAACCAAAGACAGAAGGAAACCTACCGACAAATACCAACATTTGTGGAGGAAGCTGTTGTTCATGATGACGGTCGTCTTCGAGTATAGAATCCAGAGGTTAGCAGTAAATATTTCGAAGACAGTAGGAAAGCGTATTTCAGGTTAACAGTGGATATCCCGGTAAAGTAGCAGAGCGTATTTCTTCCTTCTGTTTCTCTTCGCCTGACAAGCTGGCACTGGACATTCAGATAAAGTAAACAAAATGGCCGCCTTTATACACGATGGATTGAATATTCTACGTCTTCTGATTGGTTAACCTTCTATTGGTGGACTATAAAGTGAGTCAAGTCATTTGGGCTAGCTCACTAGTTGATACATACCCAAAAACTGCAACAGAAACGACACAGAAATCTGGACTTTTTTGATAAAATTTGGACTGATATTCCAGCTTATATATATATTATGATTTTTCTACGGCTTATCAAACTTTCGCAGGTTACTTATAGCCAGAAAATATCATCCATTTCACCAAGATTACAAAAATCTGGTATTCCCAAGCGGTTACCCATCTCGGTACTGACCAGGTTCAACGTTGCTTAATTTCAGTGATTGCACGAGTACCGGTGTTTCAACGTAATATGGCCGTAAGCCCGATATCGCAGCGTACTGACAACCTAGACATAGTATATGCCTACTTCATTGTTTTTTTACTATGTTTTTAAACATAAAAAAGTTTCTAAAATTAAATTTGTACTTTTTCTTCTTTCTTACATATATATTTTTAACAACTGACTCCCCACCCTTGCTTCATCTCCCAACAACAATTCCTATAACTTCAGATACAAGCATAAAAAAACACACATTCAGATAAAAATAAAAATCGTCCTTAATAATGGCTAAAAGAATAACCGAAAACGCTTGGATATGAGGCACATTTGGACAGTATTTACACACTTTGTGTCCAGAGAAGAAAGCACTTGTACGAACACAAGAAAAATTAAATAAAAAGCTTAATCGAAGTACCTTGTAAGTTTTCTTTAACGAAACCTGTATAAAAGAGGGTTTTGCTACCCAAATACACCATTGTCATTTATATATATATATATATATATATATATATATATATATATATAGATTTATAGATTTAAGTTTTTTTTTAAGCGTAATCTGCCTTCAGATTACTATTGTGTATAAAATAATAAAGTCCTTTTTTTCTCACTTTTTTCTCTTCCTTTCTCCTCTGACCACCCCTCACTAACACTTCTCCCTAGTTTTTATTTGCTCCCTTCCTTTCTTGTCTATTCCTTATCTTCTCTTTTTCCTTTATCCATTTTTCTTTCTTTTTTTTTTCTTTCAATCCTCTGACTGGCAATTTTTATTTCAATAATTCATCATCCATTTACTGGATTGAAAATCCTTGTAAATTATTATTTCAATTTACAAGGTGATAATGATCATCACCTAATGTAATCTTAATTCCTATTTCATGATATATATATGTGTGTGTGTGTGTGTGTGTTTGTGTGTGTGTGTGCGCGCGCGCGTCTGTGTGTGTGGGTGTGTAAAAATTTCAGGTAGAGTGTATCTGTAATATAACAATATAAATAAATACGAAAGGAGAACTTATGCCACGCGTTTCATTCTGTGGGGTACTTTATAAGGCAGATACATGGATTTATTTAATAACAAGTATCTATATACAAGAGCAAAAATGTTTTTTTTTATTTTTAACATAAAACACAAAATTTTTGACATAACATTTTTGTTTTTGTGTATAAATACTTGTTACAAAAAAAAATCCTGGCAGAGGGCGAAACGCGTCGCTTAAGATAAATTTTCCTTTGGTCTTTATTCATATATATATATATATATATATATATATATATATATATATATATGCAAACATTTTTTCATTCAAACAAGTTTGGTTAAATAATAATTTTCGTTGTGATCATCAGTTGAAACGTTTTAAATACACATAAACAAATATACATACTCACAGACAATTTAACCCCCTGAAGATGGTCTCAGATGGGAATGAAAGTACTTGGGCAAATAAAAATATTTGAAAAAAAATTTTGGTATTTTTCTTAATTAATTTTTCTAAATCTAGCAAAAAAATGAATCCGAATTTGAAAGTATCATAACGAAAACTAATCGACATGATATGTCTAAATTATTTAACCAAACCTGTTTGAATATATATATATATATATATATATATATATATATATATATATATATATATATAATGTCATGTCATTCTACTAGTAACCTGCCGGATGATCGGGTCATCGGCGACTAAGCCAATTCCCCCACCAAGTTTTTCTAGTGAGGAGAGGGGCTGGACAGCCGGCAGGTTTAAAAGCAAGACCTGTCAGGAGGTGGATGAACCTTCAGATTGGGTCAATAAGCATGTAGTCCAATGGAGCCAATTGGGCTCCATAGCTATGGATGCAGCCAGTGCGTTAGTCTTATGGCATCGGCGGGCGAAGGGGCTTCTTGAAATAATCGGAGAAGACGGATGGATACACTGATGTAATCAAGTTGGATCGTCAGGCTGAAGAACACCGGTAATGGTTTGACCTGAAAAGGGATGAGCTTCGTCATCTCTAATTGGATGAATAACTTTCCAGATATGCGGAGTGAATTTGTCTTCTGCTCAACTGCCCTCTAACCGTACGACCACGCCAAATCGTGGGACTCAAACACGTGTATCCACTAAAGTATTATAAAAATGATGATCCATTAAAACCTATTAATTACTTTAAATAACTGTGTTTACGCGTCAGATACGAAAATATAAGTTACCATACTTAGACATCGAATAGTTAAAGCAGGTCTGGCAAAATGGTTTCCTAGGGTAAATCAAATGCAGGTTCGCTCCTTGTCGAAATGTACATTTTCTTTTAATAAGTCTTTTGCTTGTCTCGGCCGGGGGGGATTAATTTCACCGTTTAAGAAATGGTATTTCCACTTGGTTATGTTTATGTCAAATAACAATTATATTAAGAGGTATGTGTGTTACTATCATCTAGAGGGCTTAAGTTAAATCCCTGGATATCAATAATCAACAGATATCATATATCAGCTAAATAATGATCACTTGATAAGGACCAGAAAGTAGTTGACCAAAACGTTGTGTCTATAATAGTATCTGTAATAATAGTCAAGATGAAATCAATATGTGATAATTCCTCATCTCAAAAACGAAATGCAAAATTAACAAATATATATAAAACAAAGTGTATAGCTTTATATATATATATATATATTTAATTTAAAAATATGATTCTATAGCTACACAAGAGTTACCATGTTTCAAAAACATAAACTAAACCATAAATTTAATTATAAAATTCAATGTAAAATGTTTATCTCTGATGCATGTTCAAGCTATTTCTGGAATAACTTATTTTGAAATTTACTGGGTTGGTAAGAACATATAATCTTGATATTATTAGTTGTCAAGGTTACGGGGAAATTTAATTATTATTAATAAGTGGTGGTAGGGTATTCGTTTCCATCGACAACCACTGTATCAAATCTAAGCTACTTTCAAAATCAGGTTATGTTAAGGTAGGGTATGGGTGCCTGTTCAACAAATGATGACATCCGTTTTTCGTATGTCGTTTGTTTTTGTTTTTTAATGACAGAGTTTTTTGGGCATCTTTATTTTTCTGTTTAATTTCTAATTTTATAAACAATTTTTTTTAAAAAGATCCCCTTGAATATGAGTACGTCGTTTTTAATATTGAAAGTCTATTCCCTCAAATTTAAAGTATTAGCCCTACTTTTAATACCTAATAGACTATATGTTTTTTCTAACAAATAAATGTATTAGAATTACTTTATTATTTAAAATTTATTATACAAAAATCAAGTTTAAATAAGTATCTTTCAATTTTCATCTTTTTTATCATATTTAATTATTATTTAAGAAAAATCTTTGACAGTGTCTGCTGAAAATAGCTATTTCATTTCTTTGAATAAGCAAATTTTTATTTTTCATAAGCTTAACAATATATAATTTCTTATGTATGCATAAGGCACATGGGTCATTTAATGACCTACAAACTCTAGCCTTTCTTAGTAATTTCCATTTTACAGTAGATGTTTTAATGGTTTTATTTAAGTACCAGAAGTATTTAGGTAGGGACGTTTGATTCCGGTATTTACTTATTTTAAAAGAACTTCGATGTTGGTTAAAACGCTTCTTGAACTTATGCCTCGTGCATCCAATGCAGACTTTGGAGGCATAAGATATGAGTTCATGAAGCGTTTTAATCAACATCAAAGCTCTATTAAAATAAGTAAATACCGGAATCAAATGTCCATATCTAAATATTTCTGGCACTTTAAGGAAACCAATAAAACACCTACTGTAAAAATAAAATCATCCTTGATAATGGTTAAAAGTATAGCCCAAAGAGCTCGGAATCACAGAAGAATTTGTACAGTTTCTACACACTCTGTATCCAGAAAAGAAAACACTTCTTCGAATTCAAGAAAAATTAAATAAAAAGCTTAATCGCAGTACTTTGTCTGCCGTCTTTAATGTAATGTGTATAAATGAGGCATTGCTCCCTAAATACACAATATATATACATACATACATATATATATATATATATATATATATATATATATATATATATATATAAGGCGTCTAGATAGGCATGTAGTAGTGTGGCCGATGTAATTATTACGAGTTCGATTTGATCAGGAATACAGTTCTTTAAGGAGCATTTGAACTCATAATGTTCGTTCGTTATAATTTTGATTTTGATGGTGTGTTGTTATTTTTGCGGATAAGGTGAGCTGTTTTATTTTTTTTTTGTAGTAGATAATTAATTTGATTAAAACAAAACATTCTTATAACTCTAGAAACATACACACAACTCACACACCCAATTAAACTGAAAAAATAAAATCATCCTTGATAATGGCTAAAAGTATAGCCGAAATCGCTCGTAATTTTAGAACATTTGGACAGTTTCTATACACTGTGTCCAGAAAAGAAAACACTTGTTAGAACAAAAGAAAAATTAAATAAAATATGTAATCGCGGTACCTTGTCTGTCGTCTTTAATGAAAAAATATATAAATGAGGCATTGCTGCCTAAATACACAATGTATCTATATCTATCTATCTATCTATCTATATATATATATATATATATATATATATATATATATATATATAATTTATTTTGTTTAAAAGGTATCTTAGATGGATTCGTTTAATATACTCATAACGTTTCGTTGGAAAACAATGACAAGGTACTTTTATTTAGTTTTTGATTATATTTTATTTGTATATGTACAAATGTCTACTTTCCTGGATTTAATGATCAGTTAAATCGAAAGCGCCCAGAAACAACAAGCGTTTTTTACAATTTTTGCATTCAATAAATCCAGAAAATATTACAATTATATATATATATATATATATATATATATATATATATATATATATATATATATTAATGTTATTTTTTTAAATGGATATTTATATTTGAGTAGATGCTCTATTTTTATTTATTTATTTATTAAATGGTATCTATTTACATCTACATGTCTGAATATTAAATAATATTTCAGATTTAAATTCCTACATATATATATATATGTGTGTGTGTTTGTGC